TCAGTACTCTATTAAATAACGTTGCTCCAGGATATGAAAACAGAACTTCAACAACAATCCATAGTTTCTGTTGGAAAACCAGCTAGGATATTTATATGAAGCCTTAGAACAGTAACATTGTTAAGGGAAAATAAAATGTTGCATGAGCATATGAAACTACCTTATAATGGTTCCAATCATTTTTTCATGTAGCTCTGGAATGCCTCCTCTGGCTGGCAGCTCTCCAGGGTCTGAAACCAAGAGCTAAAATGAAAGAACATAGAACATAAAGTAATAGGGTTGGAAGCAGCCTTGGGGGGTCCCTTAATGATCATTAAGAAATCTTAATGACCCTTTTGCCTTGCAACACCAGTGATTGAAATGGTGGCCTTCTGCATGCCAAAGCAGCACTTCAGCCAGTAAGCTGAAAAATCACTACATACTTAATGAATTAAGTGTAGGTGTGTAAATACAGCAGTTCTGTTAAAGTAGAAAGCAGGAAGGGACATTTTGAAATAATTGAAATTGTTTAATGGAGAGGAGGGGGAAATGAAATACAGAAATGCACTGGAAGTTTGTTTTCGTTCTAACATTTCTGTTTTTCTGTTGTTTTCATCCTGTGCTATTCCGAATACAGATTTCAAGACCTAAGATTATTCCTTGTCTTGTTTAAAATATAGATTTTTTTTTTTTTGAAATTCACAATAGCACGCAGCCAGTTAACAAATAAAAGCTCAGTAACATTGTCTGGTAAATAAGATAACTTTTCCTTGGTAATGTATACTAGGTGAGTCTGTTTATAGGAAGATACCCCATAATCTTCAGAGTACTGCTTTTATATGTACTTCTTTATCAGGACATATCCTGATAAAGGAGCTACACCAGATAGAGAAGCTATACTATGTCAGCAGAAGGTCTTTAAACATAGCTGATGTGAAAGAAGTTAGCTAGCCATCTAGCTCCTAAGACACTTGGCTCCTAAGACTTCTTGACCTGACTCTCAAAGCTAAAGGTTGCCACAGAGATTCAGGAGCCCAGGAAATGAGCCATGTATGAATGATACGGGCAACACGGCTTGAATCTTCCATGTCTTCTGATGGAAATCCCCACTGTTTACGGTGGGTGGGGAATATTTAGAACACTAACAATATGTTGCGGATGCACACGTGTGGAAATGTTCCTGTCCTAAGAATTTTTCCAAATAAGAAATCCACCATTTTTATTATGTAAGAATACCTCTGAGGTTCTAGTGGAATCCAGAGGAACTCCTGGAAATATAGATGCTCCTAAATGGCACTTTTACAACATTCAGCTTCCCTATATAATATTTTTAAAAAATAAATTTATGCAGCCTTGAGCAGAAGCTGATTCCTGGATTGAGAAAATTTCAGGTGAGTTGACAGTGGAATAATGCCATCAAAACTTCTTGACCTGAATCTCAAATGCTGCCACAGGGACTCAGGAGCCCAGGAAATAAACCATATAATATGAATGATAGGGGCAACACGGCTTGACTCTTCTATGTCTTGTCATGCAGATTGACAGGTCTTCTGATGGAAATCCCCACTATTTTCAGTTGGTGGGGAATATAGGTGCTCCCAAAAGATACTTTATGGCTTTATATAATTATGTTTGTTTATTTAAAATGTTTTTAGGGGGTGAGATTTCAGACGAATCTCATGGAATCAATTACATAAAAATATTCAGGCAATAAACATTAACTAAATCATAGGGTTAAATAAAATGGATTTTTTTCTCTCCAAACCATATTTCTTTTTCAAAAAAATGAAACATGATCTCTCTGCAGCTTTTGTTAACATCACACAAAGACAAATCTATATGGCCCAGTTAATAGGAACTTTCATTTGGACTTAGGAAATCTTAGAAATTTAGAATAGCTGGAACTGAGAGTCTCCCTTCTTTAGCTCTCAACAGGGTTGCACTTGCCCCTTTGGAAGGGGCGCACAATTTGGGGATCCCAAAGGCAATTGGATGTTTTGGGTTTTTGCCTTGAAAAACCATAGACACAATTTGGGGGTCTTCTTGGACTCATAGATCTTGCTCTAGGAGTAAGTGGCAGCTGTAGCAAGGAAGGCTTTCATACAGATCCATGTATTGTGATGGGCAAGGAAGCCTTTAAATCCTTGGACTCCTTGTATTTTAGGTGATTACAATTTACTCTGCATGGGACTACCCTTGAAGACCATCTGGAAGCTGCATCTGGCCCACACTGCAGTGGCATGGGTGGCTATAGGGGTGCCATGATATGCTGATGTAATATCTCTGCTTCATAGGCTAAAATAGTTACCAGTCGGCTCCTGATCCTGGAAATAAAGCCCTTCATGACATATGGCTTAGTTATATGAGGACTATCTATCTTCCATGATTTCTACCCATTGTGTATAATCAAGCAGTTGGTATGCTCTAGTTCCCATCTATTAAATAATGTCATCTGATGGTACCTAAGAAACATACTTTCTGTGTCAAAGTTCCTGCCCTGTAGAACAGCTTCCTTCCAGAAATATGTTTGGTTTCATCCTGAAGTTGTTTACAACAGCTTTCAGAATCTAGTTCTTTCCCTAGGCTCTGGGCTGTAGTAGGTATAGGTATACTAGGCCTCTTATGTACAGGTAGTCCTCAATTCATGACTGTAATCAAGCCTGCCCATTATGGTTGGAAGTGGTGATGGCTATTATGTGAAGCACTCCTGTGATTGCCTCACAACCCTCCCCCAGCCTGCTCTCACCAATAGATCATTAAAGAAATGTGTGAGTCAAAGCAGATCATGGAGTGCCTCAAGGCCCCAGGGAAGGCCCTGGGAAGTGCAGGCCATCCCCAGGCTGCCCCCACCCCCATGCTCCTCTTCCACCCCAATGTTCTTTTATTTGTGTTTTTTATGTATATTATTATATACTTCCCAAAGTGGCAATGGAGTTGGTCAGCTTTATACATTTAATACATGAATAAATAAACTGCCCTTTCAATACACGACTATATGATATATATAATGATTAATATGTGGAAACATATATAAATCCAAACAGCACATATTTCCTTTGTATCTATGTAGACAATCTTCTTTTTATATAACAGTCTATTTTGTGTTAATCATGAGTATTGTAATATTAAAAGTAGTAGGAGACTTAGTGACATGTTCTCGTACAATTTTGGAGATTTTGTAATATAAATGTACAAGAACATGCCACTAAGTCTCCTACTACTTTTAATATTATATTACTCATGGTTAACACACAATAGACTGTTATATAAAAAAATTGTATAAACTGAAACATAGATTTGTACTTAAAATGTCCTTTATTTGAAATTGTTCTTTTTGGAAGGGGGAAATGGGCACACTGATGGCTTAAGTCTAACCTTAAAAATGACCATAATTTTAATTCCAAAGTAGAGGAGCAAGACAGAGGATATGACTTAGAAGTGCAGACTATCAAGGTGGTGGATCCAAACCAAAACTTTATAACACCAAAATTGAACTACTTCTTGAGAGAGAAAAACCATATTGAGCCTCCTAATCAAGATTCATCTGAATGTCTTCTTGCCAATATGCTTTGATATTCAAGCAGCTGGGAACTGACAGGAGGCTCGAAGACAATGCTTGGCTCCCATCAGAAAGGGATAGGCTCAGTTGAATGCCAGGATTTGATAGAGCAAGTTGTTATTTAGAGCTGTCCACCATCCTGAAAATCCACTTGACTGATTGGCTGATCATGGCTTGGCCTATTGTCTTCCATGAGAGTTCCTATGTATGGAATCTCACATTCAAGATTGTATTATGATAGTCATTCACTGCTGTGAAGTCTCTGCTGTTCCATGATAAGCATGTGTGAAGCAGCCTGGGATCCAATTAGACTGTGGTTTGCCAGAAGTTATGAGGGAAAGACATAGAGAAAAAGAAAGTATATATATTTGTGGGTGTGTATATATATATACTATACACATACAGTACATACAAACATCACAGCATATTGAGAATCAGATATTTTTGGACATTTTTTCCCAAGATATGAGTTGGCCATTTAACATTTTGATTTAAAAACATCTTCATGGAAATTATTGGTGTTAAACACTGGGAACTGCTCAAAAGTTTATCAGCTAAACAGGATGATCTCAGGCAAAATCCAACAGTTCATTAGCTGAACGTGAAATGGAATAATGTATTGATTCTTTACCAGTAAACAAAAAATCTTCAGGAATGTAAAATAAAACAGACCTCCCCCATTGGCTTAAAATACTTAAAATGCTTTTGCAAACTTTCAGCAATCTTTGACCTCTAATCCCAGTTGCCCTATTTGAAAATCAAATCTTAATGAAATATTGCCACAAAAAATCATATATCAATGATTCATGGAAAACCAAAGACACTTTAGAATCTTATCACACATAAATCCCCAGAACAGAAATTGAGATTTTAAACATATTTTGTCTATCAGCATTTCAGGACACTACTGCTGCTTGGAAGAGCTTTATAATATAGGTTTCAAGATTTAATTAATATGATTGCTACAGTTGCCAGTATAACTCGTACCATATTAATGCAAAGGAAGGAACCCCGGTGATGATCTTTATAAATTAAAGAAACTTTGAGCATTAAAAAATTAGAAACTTAATATAAAACACACATTTTTTACTCTTCCTCAAAGATTTTCTTTATTTGCAAGCTTGTTTTTTTTAAAGATCTAGAACCCTCCCAAAGGGAATCATCCTACAGATTTTAACTATGGCATTGGATCTTTCCTTATTCCCCAATGGCTTTCACTGTTTGATTACAGTCAGCTTGAAGTGTTTAACATAAGGCTGACTGTGTGAAATGAAATCTCTGTAGCCTGAATTCTCAGCAGCAACTGATCCATAATAGTCTTGTCTACAGCAGAATTTTAAAATGCTCTCAAGATGCAGATTAATCAACCTAACTATTAACCAGTAGGGTTCCCTGTACATTCTTTTTTTCTGACACAGATTTATAATACCTGCATAGTTGATAAAAATCAATTTTCTTCCAGCTCATGTTTGGGAAAGCTGCAATCTTTGAATTGTTGACCTTCATCCATCTATTAAAGGGCCAGTAACTTGTCTGGAAACAAGGTAGCAGCCTTTTTAACTGTCGCATGTTTCTGTAAACATAGTGGATTGGATTGATTAAAGCTGCAATGCTATACATGTTTATTTCATGAAGGCCCCTTCTATTTCTGATAGATTGAAAGCTAATAATATTTTGCTTACATTGAATTCCATTGAAATTTAGTAGATGCTAAATCAATTCTATGTTAACTCATGACTAACTTAACCCATTAGTTTTAAGAGTTGGAAGTGTTACCAGTTGAGTTTGAATCAACCCAATAAATAAATCAACCCAAGAAACCTTGAACTGGAGAAGTGAGGCCCTTTTTGGCTTTATGGCAGCTTAACAATAATAGGGATGTGGTAGTGGTAGTGGTGTTGAAACAATCCTCATATCAAAGGATTGTTTCACATAAGTAGTCTTTATAGTAATGAAGATAAGCTTCTGTACAGAGCTGCTATGAAACTGTGTTAGAAGCATAACGGGATGAAGAAATAGTACTATATGACTGTCACTGTTCACCTTCACATCTTCCCATCGCCTTTATGGGATGATGCATACATTAAAGGTAAGAGCAAAAGCCTTTGTTGGCACTGCTGTATACAAAGTAGCATTAGAGGGTTATGTTTCCCAGGGGGGGGGAAAGGAATTCAAATTTACAAAGGGATGCTTTCACATAGATGTGTGACAAATTGTGGTGGAATGACATTTTTGTTGTTGTGATAATAACTATGAGAAGAAGTACGGGCCAACCAGAAAAAAGATTAGAGCCTTAAGTGACCCTATATAGAGGGCAAAGACTTCTGTGCTTTTAGACAATCCTGCATGGTGACTGTAACATAATCTCTTTGTCTTGGCTTCTGTTTATATGTTTTTGCAGGTAACTGGTGTAATTTAAAATAGTCACCATGGATCGTGACATTGCTGACCAGCATCTCAGTGGTGAGTATTACGAATTCTTAACAAACTGGCCATAAGGCACCCTTTCTGAGACCATTGTAACCTCAAATGGTCATTGACTGGATATTAAGTGGGGACTACCTGTGTGGGGAGAATACGAGGGCATATTAGATTCCATTTTTGAAAGAAATCATAAGCCTGTCATTCTTCCAGAGCTTTTGAAATGATTTTAGACATTTATTTCTTGACTCTTTTTTAGACATTTTAGACATTTATTTCACCTCCTCTTTTCCTCACCCACACACCCATAAGCATTTTGTTGGATTGCAGTCATAAGAACTTCCAGGTCTCATTTTCAGGAAGGTTGTGGGGAATGGGGAAAAAAATCAAAAACAAACAAAAAGATTTAGATCGGGATGGGCAACTATGGCCCCTTTACAACTTGTGGTCTTCAACTTCTAGAATTCCTCATCCAGACATGCTGGCTCAGGTCATAAAGGGCCATAGTTGCCCACCCCCAATTTAGATATGCAGAGGAGTTGTGTGTTATTATAGTTATGCTATTAGCCTTTACCATATCACTGATTGAGAATTTACTTGTTCAGAGATTTCATAATTAAGGGAAGAATATGAAAGCAGTATGAAACCTAAAGCATAAAGTCTTGGTCATACATTCTGTGCTGAAAAAAAAATGTTGTTCATGTGCAGGTCTAGACAAATAGGGAAACAGAACAAAAAAAAATTCAAAATCTTGTAGAAAAGAAACTAATCACTACAAGAAGACATTGGTTTATTTTAAAAATTGATACTCAGCCTGATAAAGGATTTGCAAAGATTAAAAAAGCAAATATATTTTAGAATGTGTTACAGGGGTTCTTTATAGAGATTATTAAGGCATTTACATTTTTGCTGAATACAGTATATGCCTACATAATGATGCTGTCATTCAGTTTTAAAAATAAAAACGTATTTGTGCTTTGCCATATATTCATGCTATTTTACAACAGTTTTCAAGAAAAAAACTCTCTCCTTTGGCATATCAATTTCCCTCTTTTTCCAACAGCATTAATCACATAAAAAGCATATTTTTACTGTTGACATAAAATATTTCTGCAGGATGGAAAGGCTCTGGTGGCTGCTTTCTTCTGATAAGAACTTTGTTTTCTTCCAGTCATAAGAAATCCATCTGGGTGGGAAATAGGTCTCTATATTACTGGTGCACTTGCTCTTCTGGGAATAGCTGGAGTAAACCTATGGAAGTTATGGAAATCGGGTGGCTATCCTGCACCTTCTCCATTTCCAAACTATGACTACAGATACCTAGAACAAAAGTATGGGTCCACTTATTCTCAAATCAGACAAAAGGTAAGGAGCAGTTAATTGTGACAACAGTGTGAAGAAGCCCATCAGTTGCAACATCCATTCATCCTCTTTGCATGTCATCAAACATCATTTAACATCATTTTATGAACACCCAACTCTTAATTTTGTCTTGTATATTGCAAGTTAAGATAATGATGATTATAATAACAGAACTGTATATATTTTGAAAAGACTGGGGTAGGTTTACGAAAAGAACATTGAGCAATTATTTCAGCTAGGCATAAAATATAGTAATAGCCTTTAGACTTATATACCGCTCTACAATGCTTTGCTATACTCTCTGATTGGTTTACAATGTCAACATATTGCTGCCAACAATCTGGGTCCTCATTTTACTGACCTCGGAAAGATAGAAGGCTGAGTCAACCTTTTAACCTGTCAGGATTGAACTCTTGGCTGTGGGTAGAGTCAGCCTGCAATACTGCATTCTAACCACTGCACCATCACAGCTATGGTGGTGGAAGGACACAGGGTCTTGCACTGGTGGCAAAGGCTGAAACCATCTGCCATTTTGCACGTCCTCTTCCCCATCTCTCACATGGTTCCTGAATTAATTAGTTTTTCTCCCTTCTCTCTCCCCCCTCCTTTTTTATATTGTAGCTATTACATTATGAATCCGTGGTTTTTGCCTGTGAACTGCTGTGTGCACTGGCTAGGTTGGCAATATATAAATGTAAGAAATCAATAGAAAATGTAGAGGCTTTAAAACTCAGCTGTTACCTAAAGAGACAATTACAGACAGAAAAGACTCACAAGAACTTTAGCCCTTCAGCCACAGCCCTTTTCATTTGCTGAATTGTTTAATTGCTTATAAATGCTCAGTTATCTTAAATAAAAATTTTGCGATAATACTGAATTGGTTAAAACATTCTTCTACTAAATTAAAAAGGTAAAATCTGCAATAGTGATGGTGATCCTGAGGGAAACTTAAACGTACTGAAACAATGGGTGAGATGGATTATTAAACTTTCTTTTTCCTCTTTGCTTTTCTTAAATCCACCCCCCCCAAATCATTTGCCTTTGATGGGACCACTCAAAACAAATAATTGTACCATAAAAAAAATAGGTGGCAGGAAACAATTTTTTTTTTTTTAAGGAGACGGCCTGAGCAAGGAGAGGACTTAACATTCAGCTTGGTTTTATATTTTATATCTCACTCACCATCCCCTGATATATTGAATCTTGGCAAGATTCATGTCAAGGACAAACTCAAGATTTGTTATTAATGGAACACAATAGTATGAGTAATCCAATAAAACGCAAACACCTATTCTAATGCAGAATAAAAGAATGCACGTTTGAATTGGTGAAAGACTTAAAGAAAATTCAACATTAATTCCCAAACTGACCTGTTTGATTACAGAAATGATAATATCTGTGTTTACTGCTGACTGGAAACCTCTTATGGACTTTTTGTGCAAAAAAAAAAATGAGCTTCAGATCTGAGATTTTGACAATTAGGTAGGATATATTATAGAAAGAAGAGAGACGTGATTTAACTTTAGAGAAGGAAGTACTGTAAATTTGCAATTATACTTACAACTGGTTTCTTGCTAGCAGAAGTCCCATGGTAGAAAAGATCCTGTTCTTTTGTAAATGTTAACCTGTATTCCCCCCCCCAAAAAAACCCCCCAAATATGTAAAAAAAAATTCTCCAAACTTTTTACATAAAAAATAAAAATAAATTAAAGTAATTCAATATGATCTTAAATAGAGGCCACAATTTAAATCTCCCTGGTGATGATCAACCGAGAGTAGACAAATAGATTTGATAAATTCTAACTGTTTTTTTCTGGCTATTCAACAACCTCCTTTCCAAATCTCTAAAACCAACGCTACAGAATGTAGGCTTGAATTCAGTGAAACAATGACCATGGTCAGATTTGTCTTGGATGTTTTCTTATAAATGTCTCACAAATAATACAGCTATGTTACTCCATGAAACACCCCCCCATGCCCCAAAATTCATAGCTGAATATTTTTGTTTTTACTAGAGTGAACCAAAATGCCTTAAACAATTGGAGAAGCGTTGGAATTTTCATTCAGGCAGGATATTAGAAAAACAAGGGATGGAGAAGAAGTCAGAAAGTCCCAAATTTCAGCAAAGAAGTCAACAATTCAGAGTCCATCTTAAAATGCAACTTGTTCTGGGAAGGAATCTTTTTGTAAAATCAAGTCAAAGAACTAAGATCTGAAAGACTCTCTAAATGTTAATATTAAATATTCCTGTTTGCTTGAGTGAGAATATTTTGGCCTATATTTTCTTTGGGAGTACATAAATAAAATAGCTTAGACAGTCCTCTGGAAATTGGTTTGTGGGAATGTTATAAGATAACACATTTCCTTCCAAAATACAGTTTTGCCTTTTTTTTTCTCCTTAGTTGTTTGGCTGATGAATGGGTATAACAAACGTTTTTATTTTGATATCCAAAGCCTAGGCAAGCAGAGAGGTAGGAACATGGCAAAGCAGGAAGCAGAGGTTAGATGCAGTTTTGAAGCCTTTAGTAAAGTTGTTAACATTGGCAAACAAATGAAAACCTGAGGCTCTGTATGTTGGATTATTGATCTTCAGTCAGAATTAATATAGGGCCTCACAGATGAGAGTTTAAAAAGGTGAAGCCATAATTCTAATTTTACCTTATGTAGCAGAGTCTATATGTGTGCAGATGTCTGAAGGCAAGAGAGGAGTTTTTATTTCAGAATCTGATTTTTTGCATCGTGCAAAAGTTGCTGGGGGAATTGCTGATATTAGTGATTTTTTAATTAAATTAACAAGCACTAGAAACAGTTGTAGTCTAGTAGGGAATGTGAGTTTGGCATATGGAATATCTCCATTTTAGTTCTTGTCAGGATAGAGCTGGGAAGATCCTAACCTAAATCTCCGATGAGCTGCTGCTATTTAATGTAGACAGAACTAAGCTATTTGCACTAATCTGACTCTCAGTAAGGCATTATCTACAGACTACAAGTTTCAGACACAGTTTAAACAATGAGTTTCTCTTCTAGGTACATTTTCTGGAGACTCTCACTTGTGTTCCCCTCTGGAACTTAAATTTTTTTTTCAAAAGAGTGTATAGATCTCTACATAAATATTGATAGGATTAAATGTAGTCCATAAAGGTAATGTGCACGAAAAAGAAATGGAAGCAATAAAACTGGCAACAGAAAAGAAATATGTCTATGGAGATTCTCAGTCAACCAGGTCACAGTTGTCCCAAAGGTGGTTTTTCAAGAGGCAACTGGACTTGCTTGTTTTTCTTTGAAGACGTTTAAGTTCTCATCCAAGAAGCTTCTTTGCACCTTTGAGAAAACAAATGTGTGTGGCCTGAAAATTCAGACAAAAAATGCAGGCAACAATAGAGAAAATGCAACTGTCATACCTGCAAAGACTAATATTAGTATATATTCATTATTTAAGACACCATCTTGGTCTTTGTTCTTTTCTGAATTCAGAGCTCCTGTGAAGCTAACTTTACCATACTTTTATACCTACCCCAAAAAGAAAAGCCCAACTTGTTTATACAGTTTTAAAAATAAATTAGACTTAAGAGAACCACCACCAGTCATCTGACCCTTCCACAGGACCAGAATTATTAATGAAATGGGCAGCACTCCCAGTATCAACAATGTAGATAATCTCTTACCATTGCTGTTTGTGATGATATTGTAGTAATGCTAGTAGCACTTCCTAAAAAATCAGTCATAATGCTTGAAGTGGCAAACAATTATGCAATGAACACCTGGAAGACCCAACTTTTAATTCAGCTGTAATTTTCTTTAAAAATATCTCATTTTAACTAAGGGAATGTTCTGGATGGGGATGTCAGTTTTTCACAGTGTGAAAACTTATTTTCACGATACATGGAATATTTTTTTCCATTTTGTTCTTAACATTTTCTTTCTGCCAGCCTATTTTTATAAATAATTAAAATCGTATGTTCTACATTCAGCACTCTGAAGTGCAAGTTAACCCTGATCTCTGACTAGCTGCCTGTTTTTTCTTATTGTTTGCAGAGGGCAACAAGCAACTTTCGAAAGCCAGGAGAAAGAATATCTCCTGTCTGCAAGCAAAGCTTGAAAATGGATGATGCCTTTGAAAATATTAACGAGTTAGGCACCTTGGAGCTGATGAACAAAGACCTCGAGCTGACTCCTTACGGGCCATTGAAAAAATCAATCTCCACTGACTCTCTAACTTCTGTCTCCTCCATTGGAAATAACTTTGGCCAGGAATTCACGGTGGGACAAATCGAAGTTAACATGGAATACAATGTGAATTCGAATACCCTGCATATCACCTTGCTGCAGGGAAAAGATCTGATGGAGAAGGAAGATGTTAATTTTGAATCCTGTTTTGTGCGCATCAGTTTACTTCCAGATGAGCAGATTGTTGGCATTTCTAGGGTAAGTTTCTCCACCCACTCATACTTGGTGGCTAACAGTTCCTCAGACTGCATTACGCAAGGCTTTTTTCAGTCATGCGTACAAGTGCTTAATCTTGAAGATGCTGTATGATATAAGTATATTTAGCTGGATAAATAATTTCATCTTAAGATAGATTTTTGCCCCAAGTTACATTTAATTCCAGAATCTGGGCAGATCCTCAGTGTTGAATTGATCTGACTTTCTTTAAAGCAGATAATTTCTCTTTATTATTTGTCTGTTGAACACAACTCCTGCAGTTTACATTGCCACTGCCTTCTTATATGTTCATTGTAATCGCTGTTCCTGGTGGTTTCCCATCCAACTACAAATTCAGCAAACTCCTTGTTGGAGTTCCAAATTATTATTATAATTAGTCCTGACCCTGCTTAGTTTCCAGCCCCAAACAAAGTTAGCTGCATACTGCACCTACTGAAACATTTCAGGAAGTATATCATATCACTTTTCCGCACTTATTGCGTCCGCAGAATCTCGCCCGGCCGCCTTGTTTAGGGTGACCCGCTCCCTTCTTAAAGGGAGGAGGCGGAGGAACCCTTGCAGGGGAGAGCTGAAGAGTTTGTTCAGTTTCTTTCGGACAAAATCGCTCAGATTCAGAGGGACCTGGACTCTGACTGGGCAGTGCCAGCCGAGTTGCCAGGGGCTGGTCTTAGTCATATTATCTGGAGCGAGTTTGAGCCTGTGACCCCTGATGAAGTGGACAAGGCTGTGAGGGCAATGAATGCCGCCACCTGTTTATTGGACCCGTGCCCCTCCTGGCTGGTTTCTGCCAGTAGGGAGGTGACATGAGGCTGGCTCCAGGCGATAATCAATGCTTCCTTGATGGAGGGGTCTTTCCCGCAACCTTTAAAGGAAGCGGTGGTGAGGCCCCTCCTCAAGAAGCCTTCCCTGGACCCAGCTGTTTTGAAGAACTTTCGTCCCGTCTCCAACCTCCCCTTTGTGGGGAAGGTTGTAGAGAAGGTGGTGGCATCTCAACTCTTGCGATCCTTGGATGAAACCAATTATCTGGACCCTTTTCAATCTGGTTTCAGGCCCGGCTACAGCACTGAGACTGCTTTGGTTGCACTGACCGATGACCTCTGGCGAGCCCGGGATAGGGGTGGACAGAGATCGACCCCTAGGCGCCTCGATCATGGTGTGCCTCAGGGCTCGGTCCTGTCCCCCCTCCTTTTTAACATCTACATGAAACCGCTGGGTGAGATCATTTGGCAACACGGGGTGAGGTATCATCAGTACGCGGATGATACCCAATTATATATCTCCACCCCGTGTCCTTTCAGTGAAGCAGTCGACGTGATGTGCCGGTGCCTGGAAGATGTGAGGGTCTGGATGGGGGTGAACAGGCTTAGACTCAACCCTGACAACTGGATGGTCCATCTTTAGTCCTGGGGGGGGGCAAATTTACCTCCCTCAGTGCAGGCCAGCAACTTGGGTGTCCTCCTGGACTCACAGTTAAATCTGGAACAACATCTATCGGCTGTGGCCAGGGGGACCTTTGCACAGGTTCGCCTAGTGCACCAGTTGCGGCCTTATTTGGACCGGGAGGCTTTACTCACAGTCACTCATGCCCTTGTCACTTCAAGACTGGATTACTGTAACGCGCTCTACATGGGGCTACCCTTGAAGAGCGTTCGGAGGCTGCAGTTGGTTCAGAACGCAGCCGCGAGAGCGATTGTGGGCGCGCCAAGGTACGCCCACGTGTCACCTATCCTCCGCGAGCTGCACTGGCTTCTTGTGGGTCTCTGGACGCAATTCAAGGTGTTGGTTATCACCTTTAAAGCCCTTCATGGCATAGGGCCAGGTTACTTACAGGACCGCATTCTGCCGCACAGCTCCCAGAGACCGGTGAGGTCCCATAGATTGGGCCTCTTTCAGGTCCCGTCAGCCAGACAATGTCGGCTGGCGGGCCCTCGGGGAAGGGCCTTTTCTGTGGTGGCTCCGACCTGGTGGAATCAACTTCACCCCGAGGTTCGAACTACTCCCACCCTGCCGGCCTTTAAGAAGGCCGTTAAAACCCTCCTGTTCCGGCAGGCCTGGGGCTGATGTCCCCGGGGGGGCGGGATATGATCGGACTCGCGGTATGACTGCTTTATTTTATTGTTTTATCATTGTTTTAACTTTGTACGCCGCCCTGAGTCCTTTGGGATTGGGCGGCATATAAACACTGAAAATAAATAAATAAATAAATAAAGCATTAAATCCTTTATGTAGCTTAATGATAATTTGTTTAACAACCATTCAAAGTTATAACTTGGAACTAATGGTACTTATGGCTGGTCCTTGAAGTTATGGTTTTCAGTGCCCCCATGATCACATGACCAAAATTCAGGCACTTGACAGCGCTCCCTGCATTTATAGTTATAATTTTTAAAAATCCCCCTCATCTCTGCTGTTTTGGCTGCCCTGCACTCTGCCACACCTGTTGCCCTGTATTCTACCACCTCAGGAAACAAACACGCTATATGTTAAAAAAGAGAAAGTTGAGGGGAGATAGGCAGGTGAGGAAGTGAGCATGGCAGGGAAGAATTTAGTAAGCAAGAATAACAGAACAACAGAGTTGGAAGGGACCTTGGAGGTCTTCTAGTCCAACCTCCTGCTCAGGCAGGAAACCCTCTACCAGGGGTTCTCAACCTTGGCAACTTTAAGACCTGTGGACTTCAACTCCCAGAATTCCTCAGCCAGCAAAGAGTTGAAGTCCACAAGTCTTAAAGTTGCCAAGGTTGAGAACCCCTGCCCTATACCATTTCAGACAAATGGTTTTCCAATCCCTTCTTAAAAACATCCAGTGTTGGAGCATTCACAACTTCTGGAGGCAAGTTGTTCAAGTGTGAGGTCTCATTCTCACCTAGCAATGATATGTCCTAAGATAACTACCACAGCCAGGACTACTGAAAGTGCCATTAGTAAATGTTGCAGCCATGTGATATTTTGCCTAATGACTGCATTGCTTAGTGATGGAAATTCCGATCCCAATTAGGATTGTTAAAGGACGACCACCTTTAATCCCAAATTTGGTCTCCTGTTTTAATAGCATCAGAATGTCTTCACTGTTGGCAGTAAATCTTATCTGTTTACTAATCTGAAAAAGAATCAAATGTGTTGTAGCTAAAGGCTCAGATGTGAATGATTGCGTAGCCTTTTCTCAATCTGACTCCCCCCAACTGCATTGGGATTACAACATAATGAAAGTTAAGCTACTTGGGAATTCCAGGAGTTGCCAGAGCACTTTTGGAGAGGACCAAGTCCTTTTTTGCTGTTTTTCCACCTATGGTGAAATGCATAAATGATTTCTAAAGGAGTCACTCCATGTTACACATGGTCAGTGCAAGTTCAAATGGCTCAGGCTTGATTTTGATTAATTTGATGTTACTTTATTCAATAAACTTTTGTTTGTTTTTTTAATTGCAAATGCTTTGCATATTTTTTTAAATAATATATAATTACAACTGGTATAATGAGCTATGATTATTTTGCTATCCCATATTAAAGTTAGTTTTTAATATTAGCTGCCCGTAACTACTTCAAAGCTTACATGTTGTTTATCTAGGGTGGCGTATAGAATCATAGACTATAAATCAGAATGCATTGAAACAGATAGGAAAATGAGGATTATATATGTTCACTGAGGAGTTTCATCCCTAAACAAAACAGATAATGTTAAGCAAATATGTTCATGGTTTTCTCACACTTGGCTGATGCAGTTTCATTGAATTCTCAGTTTTTGTTTGGAAAGATCAAGATTTTCCCATGAATTAATTTTCCCAAAATTATTGAAGGAACTAAAAGTTACAGCCCCTTCATAGACACACACACACACACACACAGAGAGAGAGAGAGAGAGAGAGAGAGAGAGAGAGAGAGAGAACCAATAATTTATTTTTTTTCATGTATTGCCATAGTTCAAGAGATTATAAAAGCCATATTAACATGCTACATTTGCTAACTAGGCTTGTACCGCTAGTTGTAGAGTGTCTCAGAGTCATCAAATGATACAGCAGATAAAATGATCTGAAGTTCAGCTGGCCAATTTTTCCTTTACCCAGTTCCTTGGCAGAATCCATCCTCTTGGATATTGATCCAACCTGTTGGTTTCAGTGACATTCAGATGTTAGAGAGATACATTACATTCAAACAATCCTTGAAACCAGAGGCAAAGAGGAATAATTTGGGGATGTCTGATATAAAATGGAATCAATCCACTTTGATCTTCATTTGGATCCAGATCGGGGTTGTCAAACTGCTGGTCCATGGGCCGATTTCATCACCTCGAAGCCGTGCCCACCCCTTTGCCAGCAGTGCAAAAAGAGTCACGATACATTGCGATACATCACGTGACGTGCCGAGTTTGACACCCATGATCTAGATCTCCACAAAGTTCTGGTCCCATTTAGGGCTCCACTGCTTTAGGGCACAAGAATGGGGCTATGAACAAAAAATGCTTTTCTCGGACATGAAGGAATACAGTAAATGGGAAATGTCTTCTCCAGGTGGCTTGTATTCATCTGCAAAAGTTAATGCAGCCTTTTTGATCTATTCTGCCATGCCTGGCATTGATTGTTCTTTTCAGTATGTTAATACTGTAACTGTTTACTTCATAGTCACTGTGCTTTTTAGAGGAGCCTGCAATGTGATCCAGAACATCCCAGAATTCCCTTGCAGGGATAAGATATCTGGGGAGTTTCCATTAGAAGCTGTGATTGCCAGGCCTCAGCATACGATTGAAGCAATTGATCATCAGAGACCTTTTTACATTCCTTGTTGTCTACCTACCATTTCATCATTCTGTGCAATCAGCATTTGGTTTTGAACCTAAAGAAGTGATTAAATTTCAGTGATTGAATTTTGGGTCTTCAAATATGAGTCCATTTAATAATCAGGTGAACAAAAACAGCCCACCCAACTCTCAATATTGTCACAAGACGGGACAACACTGTTTTAAATAGGATTTTGGTCAAAGGGTTCTT